TGATTCGTAGTGCAGAACTCGTCGTAGCAGAAGGCACTCCCAGCAAATCTATCTGGGAAAGCCTGATGCGGACAGTGACGAGCTTTCAAAAGCTTTTGGGGGTTAAAAACAGTGACGAGGGTGTTCTCGGCTTGCTTGGAGGAACAGAAACGGAAAACAGGAAGACGGCGGAAGAAGTCCACGGCCAGCGCGTGACGCTGAAGCTTCTTAAGATGCTCGAGCAGCATGCGAACGAGAAAATGCTACAGGTGGCAACCGCTGACCTCATGGAGCCAAGTGCCCTTCATTATGTGCGTAGCAGTTTTCAACTATGCGACTCAGCCTCAGCGGGCTGCCGAATGGGTTCTGATTTGGTTGGCCTTATCCTACTGTTTTGTTGAAGAATGTTGAACATGCTGTGGTTTGCTGCGTCTACTCTCTTGAGCACCTTTCGGCTTTTTTACTCCGCGATAAGGCCCTTCTAGTTTGAAGATGATTTTCTAGTCGAAAAATTGAAAGTCAGTCAGTATTTGCATACTGCGACGCCTCTACGTGTTCCCTTCGTGTGCAGGAGGACGAAGCCGCGACGCTTCTCAGCTTCGTCTCTCCCTGGAGAATTCATTCGTCATTGATACTAGGTGATAGGACTCTAAGCTACGACGGTAATAACCACGTGCGCGGACTTGGTCTGCCAAATCAAAGCCGTTGAGCCTGGAACGGGCGTTACTGGGATAGTAGACAAAGCTGCAGACGCCTTGGTGAGTTTAGTCGACATGCGTCTGACCTTGTTCAACAGCAAGCACGCCGTCGGCGAAAGCGTGGGTGCCATGGTGGCGGTCTCGGGGTTGACACGTGCTGCCAGATTGGAGGCTGAGAATGTTGCTCGGCTTTTTAAGAATCCGCAGAGCGGGTGTATTGGTGGAAACCCGCTAAGCATGGGGGTGGAGATCGTGGCGGAGCTCGTTGCGGCGCTCACAGCGGTGTCCAACTTCAAAGGAGAGGGGGGTGGCGGTGGTGTGGCGGCTGCGATCAAGGAAATGGCTGGGGGGGTCCAATCAGATGCAAACGCTGCGGAGCCTCGGAGGGCACTGGCAGCGCCTCAAGGTGGGGCGGAATTGACTTCGAAGAATGTCGACCGGGTTTTCGATGACATCGACAAGCTGCTCGTGATCTCGTGCCGAGCCTTAAAGCAAGCGAAGAGCCAAGGAGGTGAGCAGGTAACGGTGGAGCAGGCTTTGGGATGGCTCAAGGATGTTCACAGCAGCGGCAGCATCTTGGCGGAAAAAGCCCGCAGTTTCATGGCAGTGGCCGCGAAGGGGAACGCCTATACGCTCGAAGAGTTTGTCTTCTTTCGGGCCTGTGCGCTTTTCGAGATTCGAGTGTCACTAGGGCACGAAAGTGGCGTGCTCGATACGCTACTACAAAGCTTCACGCGGGACGCAAGCAGCACGGTCACATCCGAGCTTGTTGAGAGGGTGGCGAAATCTGTCGGCGACCTAGTGGTACTTGCACAGAGCCACCACTCGGCAACTGACCTTCAGAAGACGGCCACTCCGCTGCCTGGGCGAGATTTACCTGCTGCGGCAGTTGTTGAAGAGATCTTCGCCAGACAACAATGCTTGAGAAGGGCGGCGACCCTAGAGCAAACCGCGGATGAACCGAGTCGGGAAGGGTGGCAGCAGTGCTTTCATGTGCGTCTCGCTGCGGAAGGCCTTCACGGATTTGTTCGGAGTCTGGAACGCAGCGCCAACGGCCCGACGGAAAGCAACTTAAAACTCTTAAAGAACCAAGTGAAGAGGTTCTTGGACGCTTTGCATAGCATGATGAGCCACAAGGACCAGTGGCAGCGACCGGCGTCTTCGGACGGTGAGGGCAGCGATGATCGCGTAGAGGCGCTACTGGCGGCCGCGAGGCAAGTGAGGGAGAGCGGTAGCGGCGTGGGTGAAGTAGTCCTCCTTGGCGAACAGGTAGTGGGTGCTCTGAAGGGCATACCAAATGTGGACAAAGCACGAATGGTGTCCAGCGTGTTAGACGTGTTGTCTAGCATGAAGAGGTCCGAGGATCCAGAGTTTGCGGTGAAAATGAGAAGCGCTTGGTCCGCCACGATGGCAATGGACGAGAGTGTTAGCAAATGTCTCATTGGCGACGCTACTGGAGACTGCGACGTCACGACTGTAGACCAAGCACTGGTGAAGGCTTGGAACGCTGTGAAGAGTAGGTGGAAGGAATCAGAGGACAGAGTCTCTGCTGCAATAAGGGTCGAGAAAGTCCTTGCAGGGCTCGACAGCCTTTTGGGAGCTAGTGATGTTTCTGCCGCGCATTTATATGTGCAGGGCCATGTCATGGAAGCTCTCCACCACAATGCAGGCTCGCTGGCTGAACCCGCTGAGCAAGTACTAGATGTTGCGCGCCGTGCTGTGGTGGGTAGGTGCCGAAACGAAGCAGACGGGACTTGCGGCGCAGACCTGACGGAGCTGCGGGCGGCAATGGCTTCGCTTTTTTTCAGAGCCAAGGTGAACGATTTGAGCGCTTTCGAGGCGACGTTGCGTCTCGCCGACACCAGCGACTACTTCGTTTGGGTGGCGGGGTCGGTCGAAGCTGCAATTGGCGCCTGTGGTCGGGCGCAAGACTTGTCAAAGCTCGGTGCGGGAAACAAGGACTGCGCCTCCGCGGAAGCCAAGTTGGTAGCGATGCTTCGTGGCCATTTGGAAACAGCTTTCGCTGCTGGCGCAGAAAGTATGCGTGCGCCCTCTGATGGTAGTACTGCGCTTGCCCAGGCTACGGCATTGCGCGAAGCTGCGCCAGGTGTGTGGCTCGCAAAGGACATCGCTGAAGTGGAATCAATCACGAAAGAGTGGCAATCGGGAATCATTCGTGCTTTGAGTCCTGAAAAATCGATCGGAATGTGGGAACGCATTCCAGACTTCCCGTTTTCTACTGCCACGGGAAAGGAAAGGCTGTTGCTTCGCTTGTTCAGCAGGAAAAACGGCAACGGAGCAGATGAACCTACAAAAATTGGGCAGTTGGAAGCAACGATATCAGCCTTGCTCGGCGCGCCGGCTGATCTCAATAAAGTGCTCGACAGCTACGTGAGGCTGTATGAGGATTTAGGCCAGGTTGGAGACCGTCGCATGGCAGTCGACGGCGCAGTCGGTACGTGGAATAATATGGCCACGCGGTTCAAACAAAGCTCCGCCGCTAGCGAGTCGGCTGCTGCCTTTGCGGGTGGTGCGGAGTTTGCAAAGACTGTAAGCAGCGCGTCGGAACAGTGGAGTCATCTGCAGGAAATGGTGGCCGCTGATGTCAAGCAGTTCCAACAAAACAGCGAGGCGTTAGGAAGCGTGGAGCGCTACTCCTCAGAGGCGGCTAAGGGTTTTCCACTGCTCTTGGAAGATCTCACAAGTGTGGACGCCACACAGCAAGAGCCCCGCACTAGGAGCACGCATCTGGCCGAACAGGCTGACAGCCTGGTGGATGCGATTGCTGTCATCAGGGGAAGCCAGCCGGATCGTGACACGCGTAGGAAGCTCGTAACGCTCGTGGACCCGGCCAGGCTGGGCTGTCAGGTGCTGCTTAACGGGGTGAGGGGTATCTGCTCTCCGAAACAAGCGAGCGGCGCTCCGGATGTTGTGGAGGGGCTGCGCGTGTTGTGTGTGGAGCACATTTCCGCTACGCCCCCAGCGACACCGGCAGGGCCGCGCCATGTGTTCCAAGAAATTTGGGAAGCAGTGCGCGGGAAGTGCAGCGTGGAGCCGCCGACGGCGGCCAAAACAGCTGAAGCGCAGGGTGAGATGATTAGAGAACTGGGAAAAACGATGGCGAACCCTAGGAAGCCGTTTCTTTCGATAGAGACGACGGAGTGGAAGGTCGCAGCGCCAGTGAAAGAGTTGGTGGCGGCCCGTGAGGCACCTCTGACACCGGAAGCGCAGGAGGATTTTTGGGCCGCTGTCGCCGCGGTGCAAAGTCTGAAAGGCTCTAGCACCTATCCCTCGGGTGTGTGGATGATTGTCAGATGGTTTGACAAGTTGACGCGGCCATTAGTTGCGCGGATATGTTCGAGGAAAAAACTCTCACTACCTTCTGAGACAACGGCAAAAAGCGCTGAGCCCGCAGAATGCCAGCAGAGCGCTGGCGCGCTTGACTTGGCAGTGGGTGGCGAGTCGACCATTATGGAAGGCGTTAGCTGATTCGCAGTCCTTCGTTCGACTCCACGAAATTCTCTGCCAGAAGGAAGCGCCTTCATCTTCACTCGACAGAGACTGAGACTGATGAATGTTGCTCGATTCACATTCATCCGACTTGTCCACTCATGCCACGCACTGAGCTGGGTGAGCACAGTTAAGTGAAGACGAGTGAATCTAAGATATTTTCTGACAGGGAAGCGGTCACAGCTGTCGGAAGATGGTTAAACGCAATGATGCCATCGGGTCATGACAAGGAAAGCGAAGATGCAGCCATAAGCGAAAGCGCCGGCGTAATGGTCGTGTATATGGCCACCCTTTTGCGCCTGCTGCAGCAGCAGTATTGGCGTTCTGCGTCTTTTCTACAAGAACAAGATCAGCTGGGCAGCTCAGTTGTAAACGAAAGAATTAAGAAGCTGGAGACGGACGCAGGATCAGTGAAGGGCATGCCGATGCCGATAAGTAGTAACGAGAATCTCGAAGCCAGCCTTGACGCGATAGGGAGCTTGATGACCGGCATCGCAGACCTCGCGGCACATTCCGATTTACCGACCTTTGCAGAGCAACATGGACAGACGGCGAAGGAGGCGATGGAAAAAGCAAGGGAGGCGGCGTGCACACAGCTTTTGAACATCATTAACTCTAGGGCTTGAAATCAGTCAATTATTATTCCACGATCCTGTGGTGATATATTCTCCCTCATGTTGTACCTTGAAAATTCAAAGGGAGACAGTAATGGAGGGACCTTACACCAAAGAAGTGCGGTGTAGATGATATTAGCGCTAACTACACCGGCATTGGAGACGCGCCGCGCACTTTTTACAGGCCAACGGAGGTACAATTTTTGGAAGACATCAGAGCGACAAGCAGTCTTGATTGTGACGGGAAGCCCGCGACGGTTTCAGAGTTAAGACCAGTTTTCTATCGTCCAGGGTGGCATATGCCGAATGGATTCTCATTCAATTTGAACCTTGCCGAGGCGGCATACATACTTGTCAGGGAAGCCCAGGCCTCGGAGATGAAAGTTTAGCTCTAATAAAGGAAGTAGCAAATCTTGTCGCGGCCGAATTGCATGCAGCTAAGAAGGCCATGCTTTCGAAACAGGCAGCACGTTTTTTCACGAAGCTTAGTTATGGAAAAGGTATACAGAAAATTGATCTGCTGGCAGAAACTGCAGGAAAAGGCCTCCTATCGATTTTGTCTCACCTTTTGTCTGCCATGGAGGACGCGTCCCGCGAGGCCGTGAGAGTGACGAGGTCGGCGATGCGAGTTGCAGTCGGGAAGCGTGCGCTGGCGCTGCTCAGCTATGCGGTGACAGTTATGGCCAGGGAGTCTCTTTGCATCTCTATTTCTATGATCATCAGGTCGCCCTCCTTGTCCCGACAGGAACAAGGGACAGGAGGCCGAAATGCGGAGGATGGAGATGTTCAAGTCTACGGATACACCCTAAGGGAACCGACCTGGCAAGATACACAGAGGAGTTCGGCAATTGGGTACAAGTCGCCTTATGGGCAGCCGACCAGAGCTACACCGAGAAGAGAGGAGAGGGCGCCAGCAGTTGCACGACTCTGGTTGAAGAGTTGATTAACTCCCGCGACCACACTTCACAGTTGACGCACGCGACGTGGCTGAAAAAACTGGCTAAGGCATTCTTCACCCAACAAGAGGACTCACTGCCATCTACAAGAGCTAAGGCGCAAGACGACTTGAAGGCAGGCGTGCTCATGATCGCTGGTGGCTCAGTTAGTTAAGCCTAGTTTTATTTCGTTATGCTGAGTGCCTCACTACAGTAGGCCCGGGCCGCCAAGGCTGTTGTTGGTCTGGGAAGTTGACGACTGTGCCCAGAGTTTCAGCGAGGCCACCAGACTAACGAAACTCTAGCATATGCTAACCGAGGCTTATCAGGTTTATCCAAAAAATATGGCAGTATCAGGTGGACTCGTTCTTCCCCGCAGCTGGCATCACCAGAAGTGACGAAGTTGTGTATGCATCCGGAAACGCTTTAGTCGATATGAGCCGCGAAAAAATGGAAAAGAAAGACGTCAACGAACTGTGGAAGGACGCGCAAAGCGGGCGCTTTAATCTACGCTGGACTAGGAGGAGTGAATTCCTAGAAAAAGCAGACAAGCATGGGTCGATACTCACAAAAGAAAAATTCAAAAAGAAACACAATATTGAGGATGATGATTCAATTCCTGAAGAGATGCTATACACAATATGGGAGCCCGTAGGGCCAGAACACGAACTGATGCATTTGGTGAACGAAGGGCCTCACCTAGGCTTTGATCGCGGTGATGCGCAAACGCCAGCTTTTCCTCGGCACCTTGTCGGCGATAAGAACGGCTACGAAGACTTTTTCAAAACATATTTCAAGAAAGCCGGAGAAGAAAATTATGGATTTGCATCAACTTTTCGACCACCCTGCGAATACCATCGTCACACTCATCTTTTTTCCGGAAAGATTTGAAAGGGAGCGCTAGAAAAAAGATGGACTTAGCCTAAAGTGTGGGAAATGCTATTTTCATACTAGCGAGGCAAAGTGTTTCTGGCATTTGGACGTGTACCGCGCCGCTTACATCTTCGAAGATAAGTTGAACGCTCTGTGGCGACAGCCTCTGGTGCAGCGATTGTTCGACAAGGAACGCAGACTAATCGAAAGACAACACACGGGAAAGTCGGAAACGAAGTGCTTAGACTGGACGCGCCTGTGCGCATTGGAATCCTGGACAATTAGCGACCCAGCCAAATTCGCTACCTGCGCAGTCGCGGAAGATAAGACGCAGGAGGAATCTTGCAGACGTGAGGACCCTTGCAAGACTCAGCCAGAGTTTTTGCAGAAGGCCGCAATGGCATGCCAGCAGCCCGCTGCGGTGGCTGCGGAGAGTGCTGACAGCATAGTCCCCGATACCATTGTTTATCCCTTTAGACAAGAAATGTTGAGGTCCGAGTCGCCGGCTTCTGCCGCCCAGCTCAAGGAGGGCGCGTCGGAATTATTCAGAGCGGCGGACGGCAAACACAAGAAGGAATGGTGCAAGTGGTTTCCATTCAGAACGACCGATCCCGTCAAATGTCTTCATCCTAGTAGAGGAGAGGCCTGCACAGACAATCGGAGACAATGCGAGTTTCATGACAAAGGCTACTGCAAGATGGTACAAAAGAACGCGGAGCAAGGAATCTGCAAACAGGACTACTGTAAGACCGACGGGGCTTCTGCTGATGATCCAGAATACTGTACGCCCGAAGCGGCCATAGATCTGAGACAAAGATGCAAAGATGCTCCGCTCGACTGTTGGCGGGGGGATACGTGCAGATCGATCAGGGACATGTCGCACGAGAGTAGCTATTATTAAGGCTCTGCCTAATCCATCTCTCTGAGCACCTCTCAACCATATGCACTCCAATACAAGGGCAATGCTGGCGCATATCTTTGAGGCGTTTCCATCAGGGATGAACTGGGGAGAGCTCTAATTTATCTTTATTTGCGGTAAGGCGAGGCTTGACGCGTGCAGCGGTGAGGCATATTATAAAGCTAACAAAGTTTGGTGTACAGTTGACCTTGTTTCTCATATTTTATGCAAGGCCGACAGGTTCAAAGACCACCCCGTCTGCAAAAAGATAAGGCAAGAGACACAACGCAACACTGCGCGTGCGGGCTCCTTTCTCCAGATTCCTACCGAGCCGTCCACAGCGTTTGAGACCACTAGTGGAGCTAACACAACGTTTGGTTTTTTTGGTGCGATGGCTACATCTGGCTCTTCCGGTTCTGGTACGATGGCTACGCCTGACGACGTGTTGAGTACTACGAATGATTCTGGTCCAGGTTCAGGTGGTGTCCCTGATGTTGGTCTGTTATGGAAGCGAGTTTCATATTTGTGATAAAATATGAAGGACTTTACTAGTTTCTGGACCTGGAGCTCTTATTTACATAAATAATGACGAAAAAGTAAAAGATATTATCGGCTTTATACGCCTCTTCCTTCTGTCTCCAGTTCGTAGCATCTACACAACAACAGAAGGCTGTTCCAAGTAGACAAAAACTATCCCATGGAAGAGATGATTTCTAGTATAGAATGGAAGAGAGGGTTACTTGGGGAAGACATTTTTTACTGTTCTAATCTTCTCTGCGAATGGTGGAGGTTCTGTTGGCACGGAGACTGATGGGACCCAGACGGCTGGTAAAGGAACTCGTCGCACGGAGACTGGTGGTACGAAGTCGAAGCCTGGTGATGCGCAGACTGGTGATGCGAAGACTGGTGGCACTACCCAGACGGCTGGTAAAGACGTTGGCGATACGAAGACTGCTGGCAAAGAGACTGGTGGCACTACCCAGACGGCTGGCAAAGAGACTGGTGATACGAAGACTGGTGGCAAAGAGGATGCTGGCAAAGAGACTGGTGGTACTACCCAGACGGCTGGTAAAGGGACGGATGGCGCTGTTCCTGGCGAGGATACAGAAGGCGACATGTTACAGATTATGAACTAGCAGGGGAGAATTCATTAGTTTCGCTTCGATCTAGAGTCTATAATCACTATTTTCCACAAGATCAAGAAATGGCACAGCTGCAGCTGGTGTGAAAATAGGATTGAAGTATTGGAACAGTAGATCATTATCACCTAAATGATTTTCGTCTAATCTACTCCTGCTCAGGACGATTAATTTGGTCAATCTCTTTACAACTAGTCTTACTAGATGAGTCTCCGTTCTTTCATGATCTTTTCGAGGTGCTCGTGCTTTACTGTATTCAACACTGGCGCTTTCAGTGTTAGTAACCTGGTTCCACCTTAGATCAATCGATTGTTTCATACTGATAGTTCTTTTATGCAAGACATGTGCATTAGATTTCTGTTCCTCCTTTCATTCAAAACATGTGCATCACATCCACCTTCTCATGCCTTTTTGATGCGTGAGCCAGATCTTTCTCATTCACAGAAGTGGTTGCTTATTTCTCGCTCTCTACATGATGTGTGAGCCAGCAGATCTTTCTCATTTACAGAATTGGTTGCTTAGTCCACCACTTGGGGTGGAGGTGGACTAAGTCGTGGACTTTGGTCTCATCTAGGTAGAAGTATAATTGCCCAGCATCAATCGGAATTGATTTGTTCTTAATCTCATCTACTATCCAAAAACTGAATATATGCGAGTACCAAATACAATAGCTGAGTATCTGAGATTGGTATCTAGAATAGTCGCTTATTGTTTCCGTCTATCGAATATATTAATTACCCAACATTATTATTATTATAGTTTGATCTTGATCTCTGTGGTCTCCCCCATGAATACCCCATGAATGATTCATGGGGTATTCATTCTTCAGTACCACCAAATGCGACACTAACCCCAACGTGCTCAAGGACACTACCACCAATGAGAACACTAAAAATTACCACCAATGCTACTCTACCTTCTCCTGTCGCTAATCCGTCGAGTTGGCTCCAGAGCGACGCATTGACGGACGTGGCCGACATTGCGCGTGCCTACATCGCGGCCTAGCGATGTGGTTCTGGATTTTATGACAACAATGTAACTCATCAGAGGTGGATAAAGCTGAGGTGAAGAGTGCAAGAACTTCAGATCCCATGAAGATAGAGTGTATCAACTGTGGCACTCATGATAGAGGAGTACAACAGCTTCGAGACTCATAAAACAACTTCAGGATTCATTGAGTATAGAACGAGCCCTATCCTATCCTACCCACTCAAAACAAGCTGTATGTAAATTTTGATTTATAGTTTATCTAACTGATTACTGATTACTTAGTCGAGGCTGTTTGAAAACAGGGCTTCCTACATATCAGGACTCTAATTTTCAAAATGAAAAGAAAAAGCTGATGATTTTGATAGGATGATGATGATCCGGGGGATTCAGATTGCGGAAGGAGGTGCTAGGAGGGCAATAACGGAAGGACGTGCATGGCGGGTATTGAAGATTTGGAGGAGGGGAGGTAGGTGGGTATTGAAGATTTAGAGGGAGCAGGAGGTAGAAGGGAATTCAAAATTTGGATGGGGAAAGAGACTAAGGTGGGTACTATTGAAGATTTGGAAGAGGGGAGGTAGCTGGGCAATGGAGATTTGAAGGAGGGAGGGCAATGAGGATAATTGAAATTTACGTTGATTTTGATGGTATTGATGATAGATGTAGCTCACAGAAGATGTAGCTCAGCCCATTGACATTACATCCACGATTTAAAGGATGGAAATTGAGATGATGAAATTATACTAGACCGACAATTGAAAGAATGTGAAAGACTAGCTGTAGCTCTGGAGGTACTAAAAGCGAGAAAGCCTCTGAAGAGAAACGACCCTAGAAAATAATCTAGTCTTTCTTGGTACTCTTATTTACCGTGGTGCATACCCCTAGACCTGCTTGGGCGCCTAGATTTTGGTATTTACCGAACACACAACTGGCTGTGTGTCTTCGTATTTCCCGAAGAGACAACTGGTTGGGTGTATTGGTATATACCGAACACACAACTGGTTGGGTGTATTGGTATATACCGAACACACAACTGGTTGGGTGTATTGGTATCTACCGAACACGCCACTTGTTGGGTGTCTTGGTATTTCCCGAACAAGCAACTTGTTGGGTGTCTTGGTATTTACCGAAGACGCACCTAGTTGGTTCGCGCGACGTGCTACATCCTTGTATTGTATACTCCTAGTTCTTGGGTGCGTCTCAGATAATTGATGTGACGAACATTTCCTCTTCGTTGTTTTATCGAGATGTACCAGCAGAGACTGTGCCAGCGTTGTTGAGTGCGTCTTCTCTTTTGAGGGTGCAGCGCGTCTCTCATGCGATGAAGATGGAAATGGTCCGATCTATAATAGAAGCGAAGGGTAATACGTGTAGATGAGCACTCCAGCCAACGTGCTGCAAAGGGTAGAGCTGCACTCCAGCCAACGTGCTGCAAAGGGTAGAGCTGCACTCCAGCCAACGTGCTGCAAAGGGGAGAGCACTCCAGCCAACGTGCTGCGAAGGGTAGAGCACTCACTCCAACATGCTTTTTGGTTTTCTCAGACGGGGGCAAGACGAATGTAGCAGATGGCTCATAATATTTAAGCTAGATCGTAAGAAAGATCGTAACCGAAAGTCCTACTTAGTGTTTTTGTTGTAACTGTAAGTCACATGTTTTTTCGTTTTTCGTCCTCGTCGGACGAAAGAGGAATTACATACTACAACTGAGATTTTGAAAGGTGGGCCGAGAGGAATAGTTTTTTGTAGTTCAGGTATGACATTGCTTGAACCATCAAAGAAATATTTGTTAAAAACTATGTATGATCTCATAAATATTGAATTTGAAGAACAAGAACGATTATTTATAACGATAGGATTTTATTACTGTACTATCAATAAATTGATGGTGAAGATTGAGTTCGACGTACTATTGATAGTGATTTCTTTGTAGTGGACTGTACACAGTAGCGCGACAGCTACGAGATTGCAGCTCAGGAGAGTCCCGCTGGACTTGCCGTTCGGGTTGTGACGGGGCGCCCGTGAGGGTGCTGAGTGGGACTGCTATGCGATGTTCTTCTTCTTGTCGGACCAGATGAAGCAAAGCAGTTAGCTTGGTAACCGCATAACTAGGCGCTGTCGAGCAGCCTGCCTTGTAGCGCCACGCAAACAGCGGCTGTAGGCCTCTCGTCTTGGAGCGTTACGCGAACAGCGGCTGTAGGCGGGCGTGGACTTCTGCATGCCTCCCACCTGAGGCATGCCTGCGGGCACCCGCCTGCCTTTGGCTGTCCTGGAACACGCCTGCCTCTGGCTTTCGTGTCGTAGAACTCACGGAAGCCAAAGGCCGGGACACTTTCCCCATGAAATGAAACACAGCCGAGAGGAGCTCGCCAGGAGGATCCGTAGAAGTGGCCCTGCACATCCATGGCCTCTTAGTTAGTGCCAAACTATACTTGCGCAGGGCCAGGGCGGGAGCGCGAGAACACGGATGGGGCGTGGGGGCCGCGTGCATGCGAAACTCATGCCAATAATGCATAATGTTAATGATATCAACATTAAGTAACCAACAGGACGAGGCACCATTTTACGAAAAAGATTAACAGTGTCACTAATTGTACTAAAAAGAAAAACTTCTTCGAGAGGTTATGGAGATGGAAATTATGGAAGCTGCTCTACTGAAAATGAGTAGCATCAAGTAGTCTAGTACTTGGATCGTCATCATGATATTTTCACTTAAGAAGTTCGTCACATCAATGTATGTTGTTGTGACTCAAGAGCACAATTATGCAAGAACTACAAGAAGGGCGCTACGGATAAGAAAAGTTGAGTCAACAAAAGTTGAGTCAACATGAAGATCATCTCTTGCTGATGGATTGAAAGAGCTTGCTTTTTGTCGTGAAAAATAGTAATAAATATGTAGAACTGGAGTTTTTGAAATAGATAAGAAAGCAACATCGATCCATCTTCGTTTGAATAAGACATAACACCAGCACTCACAGTGTATTTGTAGGAACAACTATGAGGCTGTACTTGTCTGATGAACAAAGTAGAGGGCACAAAGAGGCTTTCCTACAGCGGCAGGATCAGATGTGTTGAGAAAGGATCAAAAGTTTGTTTTTGGTGAAGATAGAAGGCATAGAAATATCAGCACGAAACGACTCATGATATAGAATCACGATGAACTCAAGAACAAGAAGGTTATCTTGGAGGTAGACATAGAACAACAAGATGAAGGTCTATTGTGGAAGAGTACTCGACGTGACAACATGAGCAAGGCATTTATCAAAATCTTGTATTTCATCAGTTAAGTAGCAGGAGTATTTCAAAGGACGTCTCACTACTTCTAAAGAGTTGCATTCATTACTACGTTGTGTACGAATTAGCGAGGCAAAGGAAGACCAGCAAGCACTTCTTAGAAAACGACAAGGAAATCGAACACGTTAATGTTTTGAAATAGTAGAAGATGTGGATGTTGATATTGGAGATCAGTTTGCTCGTTGTCTTATTAGTAGTTCCAACCGAGAGCGACGAACGGCCTCTCTCAGCATTACGCGGTAGGGGCGACGGCACGACATGACACGGTGCGCCCAGTTGCAGCGCTATTGACGTCGAAAGCTAGGGCGGCGATCCTCCATGACGGAGAAGCGATTATACTACCTAGAGCGGGGACGCAGGAGTGCAGGGCTACACTGGAAGCGGTAGCTCTCGTTTTTATACAGTCGGATCGGGGACCGTGCCAGGACATGGCACCGTTCGCTTTGGCCCGGCGTGTCTCGGACCGGTCCGCGATGGTACTATCGATCACACACCCGCATGAACGCGGAGCGCCGGCACCGGCCGCAGAGGTGGCGAGAAAACGGCGTGCGGTCCTGGAGGGGAAGATGCAACCGTACCAGGACTGGGCGGCGCGGATGTTCGTACTTACCGCTATATTGGCGGATCCGGAGAGGATGGCCAACGCGACGGACGCGCAGTTAGCGCGACTGCCGGCGTCGCAGAGGCGCCTAGCGTTCGAAGAACATGAACCTCACGCCCCGTAGGCGTCGTATATGACGGGCAACAAGAAGCTAGCCGCGTATGAAATTCCGGATTTGTATTCCGAGCTGGTGGCGCCGAACGGCGAATCAGCGATCCTCGCTGCCTTCGACGCGATGCCACGCAAGTTTGGTGGCGGAGCGGATTCACGTGCCGGCTCGCATCTCGACGAGCACGTCCTGCGGGTGCAATGCAGGAGCGTCGAAATATACCCTACGCACTACGCTGACTGGTGGATAGTGAGGCAGGTGACGGATTGTGATGCCCCGCAGGTGTCGCTGCATGAATGGCCACTGCCGACTTTCGTGCAGACGGTCGCCGCTATCATGCGATCGGAAGCGGGGCCATGGAAGAAGAAATGGAGGTGGCTTCGGAGAGACGAGATAGACCAGTACTGGCCATCGCGCACGGCGATGGAGAAGGGGCCCTCTGTTTTCGCGGCGGCGAGACCGGTTAGGATACACGCCGTGGAAGGTTTCGTGACGGACGACGATAGATTTGGGCGCTTTCGGGGACGAGGCCGAGACGACTGACCGTTTCTGGGCGGAACTCACGGACGCTACGGACCGCAGCGGTGGCCTGGCCTGGAACATGGGAGGGTGGAGTGCGCGGATGCGCCTCGCCGAGCTCGTGTTTTTGAAGATGCCCTTGGTCTTAGCCGTGCAGGAATTCAAACGCTCGCTTTGGGCGCGCGAGGATGGCCAGATCGCTTTCACGAAGAAGAAGATCAAGGGTCAGCCGGCGCCGAGTGCCGCGATTTTGAAGGACGGCTCCGAAGTGACCGCTCTGGACTATGTCGTCGCGGCATCGACAGACGCGGCGTGTCTCGCAGCGCCGGACGGCACTGGAGGCGCGGCTGTACTCCTGAGGGCGGACCAAATGTCCCGTCTGGTAACGTCGGTGTGCGTGGTCATAATGGCGGACCCGGATGACAACACGGATGGTCGGACAGCCCTGAGCTGAGGGGCGCGGGCGATTTCTTGGCATACATCGCGGCGGCGGTGCTGGATACGATGATCATTATATCTGCGTATTACCGTACGCCGCGTTCATGCAGGCCGTTGAACGTGCCAGCGATAAAACGCAAGATGGAGAAGTACATAGCGGATTTGAACAAACACCGTCAAGGCCGCCAAGTATGGCTGATGGGCGATTTCAACTATATCCGCGGGAGGACCAGGCCATCGGACCCATCCCCGGCCCTCCTCATGGCCGCGTATAGGCCACTGCAGATCTTCGCGGGACACCCGGCGCAAGGCATCGGACCGACATGCTGGAGGGCAACGGCACACGGCGGCGAGCCGACGGCGATAGACCACATCTACGCATCAGCTTTGGCGGCGCGCGGGAGTGCCATCGAGCGGTGGCACGTGCGGAAATTCGCGCCGTGTTTGATAGGTCTGGAGACGCCATTCGCGCAGGTGCCTACGGATCACGCGGCGCTGTGCATTCCCGGACGGCTTTTTGAGCCGGCGACGTCGCAGGAAGATGCTGTCACGGCAGCGAAGGAAGCGTGGACGAGGCACTGCGCGGCCCTCGCGCTGCGCTGCCCGGTGAGCGTGTCTGCGGTGTACTCGGACGCTATGTTTCCGGTCGGACATGCGTGTTTGAGAGCCGCCACCGCGGTGAAGGCCGCGAGCATCGCGCACGGTTACACATACATCGTGGACTGGAGCAGGCGCATGAGGTTCGATGAGCGAGCATATGCGCCAGCTTTAGCGGAACACCTGGAGCGCCGGACATACCGTCTGGCCCCCAACGCCGCTTGTGCGACCGATGGCACGTCGGCTACGGAGCGCGACGGCATCGGTCTCGGTGCAGGACAACTACGAGGACATCGCGCGAAGCCTCTGAGGAATTTGGCTGACCTGGCGCGTGCGATGACGCGCGTTGCAGTCAAGAGAAAGTTTGTCAAGGCGAAAAAGGTGGACCAGCAGGCCTCTAAGATCGATTGGTCCGTGGACGTGCAGGACACGACGGCGTCTGGCGCAGCCGACGATGAGAAGAAGAGACCAGCGAATATAGCGGCTATGGCGCAAGCCGCGTCGGCGATGCGAGCGGGCACGTCAACGAAAGACGACAAGCTCTTCAACGTCGTGGACGCTTGCAAATCAGTTTTGTACGGCAGCAAGAAAGGCGACCCAGCCGGGGAAATCCTGTATTGCGTGGCAGGGGCACTGGCAACAGTGGGCGCCGCAGAGGTCGCGAAGGGTTTGTTGCTCTCTCATCTGTGCAAGGCTAGGCTCAATCATCAGGGAGTCGACGCGGGCGCTCCTGTCGGTACCAGATAGGCTGGCCCTATATCAGCAGGCTTTGGAGGTCGCGCGCGTGGCACCGCCGTTGCCGATGTCGTCGTATGAGACGAGACACTTGCTGGAAAAAATGGCATTGAAGCCGCACATGCGGCCTCCGAACGGAACTCGCAAATCGATGATAACGGCCATGAGGCATCATATGAAGACCCTCGAGGCCCTTCGATGCGCGATCAACGATACTACCGCCGGGATTGCGAGCACGACACTGAGAGCCTTCGGGCAGTACATTAGGCCGGAACGCAGGGCCCTTGTGGCTGCAGCTTTGCACAAGAGCGGACGAACGGACAGGGCACAGAAGCTGAGAGTCGCTGTGTCGGCCGAAAATCTGCATCGTATCGCTGCGCAGAAATGCTGTATCCGGCTGAAGCAGAGGATGGAGAAGAGCGGGCTGCTTGGGTCGTGGATCGGGACCGGCCGGCCTGGAGCAGGCTTGGGCGCAGCTTTCCGGCAGGAGCTAGACGCGATCGGCAACATCGCGCGAAATATGAATGAGGACTCGCTGGATCCGGAGTTGCAGCAGATCGCTATCATCGTAACGACTGACTTCGAGAACATGTTCAACTGCCTCTTTTATGAAGTCATGGCGAAGGTCATGATATTCTACGGCGCGCACCCGCACGACTTGGCCTTTATGATGTGTCTGCAGGCGGCCAAGACAGTTTTTCTGCGGAACGGGAGGAGCGTTGCGGCCCTTCGCCGGTTTTACGATCTCGTCATCGGCGACCCCATTGCGATGGAGATCTCTCTGGGGGTGATAGCGCCGTATCTTGCGTCGATGAGGAGATCTTTTGATGAGCTGGAGAAGCGCGCGGCGTCGGGTGCAGGCATTGGCGAGTACGGTGAGTACGAGGACCAGACGTTTAAGGAGCACAGGCGGATCTTAACGACATGGGAGCGTGCGCGCAGCAGAGCGGATGTACCCGATGAATACTTTGACAGCCGCGGGCTCATCAAAACCAGCGTGCACAGCGGCGCGGAAGTTACCTGCGTTCCTCCTGAGCCACGACAGAACAGTGCTGACTTCGAGGTCTTTACGCGTGCGTGCGTCGACGACATCACGACTGCGGTTCGGGGTGCGGTATCAGAGTTCAGGCGCCCGTCGGCGCGGGTTCGCATGGCGGCGGAGATTCTTTCGAACAGGACCGAGACGATGTGCTGTGATTCCCAGTTATTCCTCGCCGCGAGGGAGAAGCTCCTGATGGCGATCCTATCGTGGCTGCCGATACCCGACGGACAAGGACGCTGCAGCGGCGGCGATTGCGCCCTTATTTAAGATTTGCGGCTTTGCCCCAAAAATCGTATTTGAGTCCAAGATAGTCGGCGACATCTACCGTTTTCCCCTGGCCGATGTCGCCGAGAGACAACTCGCGACTGCGACAGGCTTCTGTCGGCTGCTGTGTATGCGCGCGAGAGCGGCACTTGGGCGACAGCTCTCACCGGCGATAGCGGTGGCGGTCCTGCAGCAGGCACTCGCAGCTCCGACGACGCATCTATGGGGCGCCGCCAGCGATCGTTTGTCGGCTGAACAGATAGAGGCGATGGAGCAGCGTTTAGCAGTAGCGCTGCTGCCTGAGGTTGGTATAACACCACGAGTCATGCAGCATCTGCGCGCCGCGAACCCGGGCATAATGGGGAGAGAGGTCCTGTTCAGCCCAGTCACTGGCCTGCAACCGAGGGCGACGGTGGGTTCGCGGCTGTCGGATAACGGTTTGGTCAAGTGGGTGCCTCTATCAGGGGGGCTTCGCCTCGCGGACAGTTTCCACGCTCTGGTGGACGAGCTGGCCGAAGCGGAGGGCGACGCCTGTGTCGGAGGCCACGACCGAAGATTGGCGAGGCTCGCACCGGTGAGGACATCGTTTTGCGCTTTAGCAGTGTCCGGCGTCGAGCCGCCCGTTACTGTGAATGCGGTGCCGAAACCACCCCCAACGATCGTAGTATGGGTGAGGGTCGATCACGCTGCCGCCTGCGTCATGGGGTGTGGGACGGCGCACGGTGAACCTGCGTATGCGACAGAGGTGCGTATGCCTCCTGGATCGGCTGTGAGCCCGCACGTGGCACGGATTGCGAGGAACGTGTGGGCGGCGGTTGAGGCTGCCAAGCTCGCAATGAAAAGCGCACGTAAACTCGCGATAGAGGTGGAATCGGTGAGATTCTTCAACATTCACACGTTGCCGCGGCCGCGGACAATGGCGTATGAAGCTTTGTGGACACTCAAGTATGGCTTGGAGATGTCTGGCGCGCGTCTGGAACTGGTGAGCGCGGCTATGCCCCTGGATGTGAGAGTAGTATGGCCGAGGCAGGAGACGAAGAGTGTTGTAGAGAAGGACGCACTGGACCCAGAGCTGCTAACTCGTGTTGCCTTCGACGATGGCAGATCGATGAACGCCGGCGGCGCTACATTACCGCGGTTATCTCGGATGCGTACATGTGAGGCGTGGTCGGGGGTCAAGAGAACGATCGCGAGTGCGCTCGGATGCCATTACGCGGTGGCCGAGTGTGAGGCGGGTGAGCTCGAGGACACCGATGACGGGGAGCAGAGAGGGAGGTGGGGTGGAGCGTAGTCAAGTGAGCCCAGTCTTGATCCTGGGTTCGCTCGAAGACATCCCTCACCTCGGCGCGTGCGGAGGAATTAAGACAAGACCTCTTCTTACTCAAAGAGAGTTAGTACACGTTTAGTTCATGCAAAGCGTGAAGTCACTAAACCCTGAAAGTAACTAGCTGTAGCGGACAACGCGACGGCAACGCGATATAAGTTCATAAGTTTACTCTCTTCTTTTGCTTGTTTGAGTATTTGCGTATTAGGCGTGAACCCTCTCAAAGCAATGCGTTCGAAAAGTCAAATAGTCCTCCTCTGGCGCGAATTGTGAATAAATGTATAAAAGACCATGGAGGAGCCACGCGCCCTCAGAGCAACGGCGGGGGTCCAGGTGGGCGGGGGAGGACGGCTAGAGAAGAAAGGTAAAGAAAAAGAAGAATCGCGATCGCTCAGCTACAGCGCAGCCACGTCCTCCCTTTTGAACGCCAATAGCGCCTGAACCGTCGTCGCGCCTTCAAGCATGCTTGAGATAGTGGCACACTGTGAGCTTCGGGCTGTGATATTGTGACGACAGATTATCGCATTTTGGCGCTTTCGGGCGAGTGTGTCTGTTGGAATAACTTCTACTACTGAAAGAGCGGGGAGTGTAGGAAATAGATATAGAGGGTGTTCACGGAAGAGGACGGGTGGTGGATTTCGTGTGTGTGTGTGTCGTGGTATGGTCGACACGGTTGACGAAGAGCTCGGACCTTCTTGTTAGGTGACGTGGACGGGAGTTTCGCACTTTCTTTACGTTTTGCCTTTGTTGTGCCTCTTGATTTAGTTTGAAGTGATTGCGAGAGGCCGGAATCGTCACAGTGATGGCGGTCACCGAACTGCGTGATCTGTTGCCCGGGGATTTTGTTCATACCAACTTTGTGCTTTAGAATTGTCTCGCGTTGATGTTGGTGCTGTCTCGACTGCGCGGCGCGCTGAGGCTGGCAAGAATAAAGTAGCGCGCGTGTGTTTGTGATAGGTGTGACAAGGACAGACGGCTCCTCTTTCTTTTTGCGGTGTCTCGCAGGTTTCGCTTGGTTGTTGTCCTGCCAGGGTTTTCTTTTAGCAGCTAGCTTTTCTCTGAGGCGTAGATAATGCGGCTCCTCAGGTGGGAGTAAAGGTGAGCGTAACCAAGAAAGTGGAGTTATAGAGTATAGATTAGCTGGCTGACTGAGACGCTCGAAAAGTAAACAGGCGCACAGACCAGAACAGGTAGGCTGAGTTTGTAGATGTATAACGACTTGGCTCACTTACCTCTTAGACCCGTGCACTCCATTGCACAAACATGACAGGGATAAAGAGGGTAGCTGGTGCCTTTTTCTTCACAGCTTCGAAACGAGATCGGCAGACTGACGTTTGAACCACCGAGGCCGCGTGATAGAGTAACGTTTGTTAGACTCGACTCCCCAGAGTAGCGCTTCTTTTCCTTTTTCTTTGTTGTCTCTTTGTCGTGTGTTTCGGAAGTAATTAGAGTTCGTACAACGGTGGCGACAGTCCAAGCAAGGATGAGAAAAGTCGTGGTCCCACTGACTCCATTACGACGACATCCCCACGCGGGAAGAACTAAAGGAGGACAGCCCGAAGGTGCGGGCCAGACTCCCTCCACAATCCTCCACTCGCTTGCTGGCGGCGATGGCGATTGAGATGGGCCTTCACATCGGCAAGGTGGTCGAATTCTACGAGCTGCAGCACAAGGCCGAGGCAATCAAGATCTCCTCGGCTCCGGGCGAGGAGATCATTGCGGAAGGACACGGCCTAGCTCGTTTCGGTGAGCACACCTTCAACCAGATGAAAAAACTCATCAACGAACTCTTTCTGAAATCCATCAGCCATCCATTGTGGTCGGAGACGATCAGGAGCAACCTACGGGAGATCAAAAAGCACCGCGAGGCCCTGGCGCCGTACATCACGAAGATGACTGAGAGCACCTCGAAGAAGGAGCGCCAACCACTCTCGAACCCGTCACCGATCAAACGATGCCCGGAGACGCAGAAGCTCACGGGCCTGATGATTGGTCCACTCCTGGAGACTGAGACGATGTACCGGGCTGGTAAGGCCATCGAGGATGAGCTACCGCGTGCTAAACACGTGATGGAATTCTGGATTAAAGAGGTGTCGCCGAAACAGTCTTTACTTGGGTATTCTAAGAAGGTTAAAATCTGAAAAAGCCTAAGGATGTAAATAGTAGGAAGATAGTGGATAATAGTGGATATCCACTATTTTCCCACTATTTTCCCACTATTTACCCACTATTTACCCACTCTCTTCTTGCGTTATTCTTTACACTAGCAATAGAATTAGGCAACTACTTCCATTCTCTATGTCGCTAAGTAATAGCGTTGGCATTTATATAAACGCCGCCCATCGCTCTAGCTGCCGAACACGGTCGCCGCACGTTCTGGCAAGTGATCGCACGAACAAAGGTGGCCACGAGTTCGCTGGCGGAAAGCGATAGTCTATGAAGATGCTCAGATATTTGGATGAGGATGCCAGCACTTCGAGCAGCGCCACGCCTACTCGAGGTAATGCTACCAGCTGACAGATCGCAAGAACAGGCGTCCATCCTCATCATGTGGGCGCGGGTTCTAGTGGGACGGCGTCACTTTTGTTGTAGTACTGTTGTAGTACTGTTGTAGTACTGTTGTAGTATTGTCGTAGTACTGTTGTAGTACTGTTGTAGTACTGTTGTAGTACTGTTGTAGTACTGTTGTAGAACTGTTGTAGAACTGTTGTAGTACTGTTGTAGAACTCTTGTAGAACTGTTGTAGCACTGTTGTAGCACTGTTGTGGCACTGTTGTAGCACTGTTGTAGCACTGTTGTAGCACTGTTGTGGCACTGTTGTAGCACTGTTGTAGCACTGTTGTAGCGCTATTACATCGCCGCTGCGTCACTATTTAGATCACCCGACACACTGATGACCGACTAATTGGCCCCAGCAGCACACTGCTGATAAACTAACTCACATGCACCGACACACTGGCAACAGATACGAGCTGGGTACTGATGCAGACTTGCAAGAACAATCCTGAGGATGAACATAGAAGAAGCGCCGGAGATTGATGGCGCTCGCGTGTCTGCTGTTGGACGTTGTTCTGCAAGATCAAGAAACGGCGCGCATATCAGTAGAGCTACGCCACAACATGCATCACCAAGTTCAAAGAAGTCTCATGGAGAATCCTGAACGCAGATACACTACGACAAGTTCCTCGGTCCAAAAGTGCGCATACTTCATCTGAGTGCAATTACCATGAGAGTAATAACGGTATCGATGAGAGTAATGGCGCTAGTTCAAAATAAATGTGATCACCTTGACATTCCTAAGAGATGAAAAGACGACTACATATTCAAGTTCAAGAAGAGAGGACGACGCGAGCTGCTCACAATGGCGCCCTTTCCTCTCATAATATGAATTCATATGAACGAGAGAAGCTACCGACTCTTACTTCCTCGCGATTCTTGCCCTGAGTGCGGGATTAGCGACTCCTTTCGCTCTCTCCCACGCGCGCACTCCTCGAGGGCTTTCCATATTCATTTCTATTATGGAAATTTTATTTTCATGTATGTTGAATTACATATCCCCGCATGCCTTCTTAGTGCATCCAAGTCTCTCTGCACCCATTGATAGAAGTACTACTTCTTCCCATCGCTTCATGTTCATCCCATTAGCAGAAACGCACTTCAACTAGTCTGTACAAATAGAGCTACCATCCCTATGCATACTCTAGGTGATTGCAATGTCTATTCTATGGTGTCGCGTCAGTGCTGTGCAAGAAGTCGTGGCTTTGCAATGCATGGGAAAAGATTGCTCACAAAAAAAAATACTGTGCCTGGAATGCTAGGATTAACGGCTCCTTCGCTCTCTCCTGTTAGTAGCATTATCGGTAGGCTTATTCAATACGATCTGGAATCTATCTCACTGAAGCGACACTATTGTAGAGGCTGGGCAGTCTTGCCCTGTACATATTGAGAGAGAATCAAACTGACTCCGTGAAGTCAACGACTCAAACTCTCACTTTCTGCGACAGTCCTCGGTGAAACCATGCGTAATTTTTTGCACGAACACAATATCAAGAGACTAAATATCAAGATGGCCTGCAGTTTCCAGCTCGTGAGCGAATGCTTCGTAAGTAGCCTGAGTCTTCACCCCCTCATGCTGCTCCCAAAGCTTACAAATACGCATAGCTACGATGGTCTCCTGCCAGGGCTCTAGAGATTTCTTACTTAACAAAGCCCCACCAGGTCCCCAACCTTGGATCACATACCCCTCCGGAGGAGGAGTAGGGGGAGGAATCTTATCAGGACTATATAACTTTGTTAACTTTTTTCCGCTATAACTAGATAGATGCCCCCTCTTTGGCCCCACCCGGCGAAGCCAAGGAGGACGCACCCCCTCGACTTCAGCCTTGGCAGGAGCCGCCGCGTCCTCTGGAAGATGCTAGCTTGGTCCAAAGCGATAAACTCCCGGTTGATGATTGTGAGCGTGCAGGTGGTGAGATCTCTGAGTTAGAAAAGCTGAGGCGACCTCTCACATTATTCATACCCCCGCTTCTATTCATGTTCCCCCTCCCTGGTACAGACTGCCTTAGATGTGCTGGCATCTTTCTGTGGTTCTTACTTACTTTCCTACTGAACCTCCCCAACGAATCCCTACTGGACGAAGATACTTCAGTAACTTCTGCGTTTCCCTCTGGAGTACGAAATGCGGAAGAATTACCTGAGGGGTACTTATCTAAATGAGGAAACACTATCAACATTGATAAACATATGATCCAAAGAGCAGAACAATAGTGATTCTCAACAGAGCCGAGCTCTTCTTTCTTCTCCAGAGTCTAAATCTAAACTAGACTGCCACCAAAAAAAGCATCCCGCTCATCCTGACCTTCTTCTTCCATTAGTCCAAGCCCGTCGTCACCCATGACGTTGGCCATCTCTACGCCCTCGAGGACGGGTTCGTCCAAGTTCAGGCCATTCGGAAAAACGTCGGTGGAGGAGCCAGGCACGTTGTTGAAGTTGAAGAACTGGTCGAGCGCTCCATCGTTGGTCGTCGCGCTGATGGTTTGATGATGTGTGGCCGTCACATCAACATCCACCGTATCAGCCAGCTTACAAATGCGGTTGTAAGGGATCTGGGCCGTTCCTGTGAACACGTCCGAGTCGAATTGTGTGTCGCAGTGTTCTTTTCGGACTCCAGACACTTCACCTGCAACCGCCATCAACGCAATTCCATCGCATTCGCGCAACGCTGCTGGCTTTTTGCCACTGCGATAATCCACGTGAACCTTCATGCCCTTGCTTAAATTCTCTTTAGAGAATTTCGGACCGCCCTGGAGTGGATGTTTGATGTGATAGCTGTGCTACTAATGTGCTACTAATGTACTACTAATGTACTACTAATGTACTACTAATGTACTACTAATATGCTACTAATATGCTACTAGTATGCAACTAGTATGCTACTGATATGCTACTAGTGTACTAGTGATGTACTACTATATGCCCCTTCTACGCCACTAGTATACTACTAATTTAATAGTATTCCCATAGGTTGCGCAGTGTGAATGTAGAATATAAGCTAAGTAAATGCGTCAAAAAGTCAAAAAGTAAATGAAGAATATGTACTCCAGGGCTTGCAGCTTGTTTGTTCCCCTTCTTGCCCTTCTTCGCGACCACACTGTTGTCTTCTTGCCCACGGGTCTGCCCTTCTTCGTCTTCACGATGTTGCACTTCTTCCACGGCGGTTTCCTCAATGACCTTCGTCACTGTGCCATCAGCATGCGTCGTCTCGTGCGTAACGCTGTGGACAGCAGTCGTGTCCTTTTCCATCGTCTTCTCCTCGGCCTTCTTCTCCTCCTCTTTCTTCATGCGAGTCCGCTCGTGGTGCGCCTGTGCAGAGTCATAGTGTAGCGATGAGCTGCGAGAAGTGACTTAGTTGCTTCCATGTATACGCACCGCGTCAGAGTCTCACTCTAAATCACCATCTATTATGATCAGAGTTGACATCTAAGTTTGAAGTCCAAAAAATCTAAATCAAAAAGTACCTTGACAATGCGACCAACCAAGCCACTCTTGATCTTGTTGTGTTTGCCAAGAGTCGCAGCCAGCACAAACTCTTGGTGTCGAATGTTGGGAACCTTCTCTGCAAGTTCAGACGCACTGACCTCGGCACTCGCGAAGACAACGAACGACAGTGGGTTGTGGCTTGCGTTCGAACTGCGGAGTACGAATACTTCAGCAGCAAGTTGATGGAAGGCTTCGCTGTATTCGATGTCTTCGTCTGAAGTTATGAGAGGGGAAGTAGGTTCATACTCGGCGAATCAAGAAAATTAGATACGTACTCACTGATGGTTACTCGTGCTACAACTAATTACTAAAAAAGCAAGCTTATGTAAAAACCTTAGTACCTTTGAAAGCGTCGCGGCAAGAGGTAGTGTAGCGCTGCCATTCGATCAAGGCCGGAGCACTTGTAGGCGGCCAACTAGTCTGGTTGTGGAAGATAGCCTTCCCCACAGCCACTAAAAGGGAAGCTTCCGCTTCTGCAAAAGTGCTCAACGCAGCGAATTTCGATACTCCGCGGAATTTCGATCCCCTAAGAATTTGGCTCGCATCCGTCAGCCACTCCGTACCTTTTGGATATGTCTTCAGCAAAACCGCAAGGCTTTCGTCTGACTGGGTCATCATGCATTAGCGAAGAAAGTGAAACGTGAGGGCTGAACCTCTTGCGCGACTTTTGTGAAACTCAAATCCGATGGCCTTAACAGTAGTCAAATTGTCGCTGGCTAGAGCCTGTAATCCCCTGCAACAAGGCGGCCAGATCCTTCGGGATGCTGTTCGTCAACTTCTTCAGCGAAGAAACTGCCTCTTCCATATCTTCGGCCTGTTCACCTTCTTCTTTAGCGACCAAAATCTTTGCTGCAGCATCAATCGCGGGCCGCTCTTCCATTTTGCCGCTGCAGCGTTGAAAGAGTTTGCTCTTCATGATATCCATCAGCGGGCCCATTCCCAATTTCGCTAGAATCACAGAACGCAGCCCCGCGTAGTCTGCTTAAGTAAGGGCTGAGATATGTAGGCTTAGATCAAGAAATCCCCGCAGTGACCTAGATAGACAATCTACTAAGTTGAGAGAACGAAGGTAGTTCGTAGTATAGTCAGGGCATGAATCTATGATATTGAGAGGCCATAAGTCCATCATCTTCAACAGCCCCTCCGCTAAGGGAACTCTCTCCGCCATCTGAGTAAGCGACTCTTCAAAACATTCGAGATCTTCGTGGTCCATATCGCTGGTCAGCAACATGCTGCAGATCCCCCTCTCCAAGCGGTTTCGCGTTTCTGTGTGTAGTTTTTTAGGGATTTGGATATAATTTCGAGTCGCTATTTCCTACTAATGCTCAACTAGTGCCACACTAATTGGCTAGTATTATGATACTAATCAAGCACTAGTGACCTACTATTGCTCATATGAAAGGGGAAGTTTTAGATTTAAGACTTTCTAAAATTACGAAGAGCTGAATATTACCTGACTGGTCAGATACGCACCCAAGAACTAGATCCAGCTTCTGCGCTGCTTGTGGCCAGTTTTTGTTGATCGAAGTCGGCCTTCAACAAGTTCAGGAAAATCATCGTGGAGTTTCGATTTTTCTCCATGACCGCAGCGTGAGGATGAGGGGCTGCGCCTGCGCCTGCACCACCAGCAGCAGCTGGACGATGGGTCTTCGTATTCGATCCCAGTGGTACACCGCTAGAACCGAACAGACGCACAGCAGGTGGAGCAGCATTCTTCTTCGTAGGTGCTGCTGGTGCTGCTCCTGCTTCATCCAATGCTGGAAACTCCGAAAAATCTGCGATGTTCGGCACCGGCATGCTGACAGCATCTGCTTGGAGACGCCCAGGAGGCGACGGGCCTTGTTTCATCGATTTCTTCGGCGGCGAAACACCCGGCGGATTCGGACTCTGCTGACAAGTCGAACGCTTGCTATTCGTCGCAGACGAACTGGAGCTCGAAGCCCCTGGAGCTGTGTTATCCTCCTCCCCGTCGTCGTCCTTGTCGTCAGCATCTCCATCACAAATGGCTTTGGGACCCATCTTC